AGTTTAACACGAATACCCCACTCAGACACAGTATACTGACTCCGAGCCGACCAGTCCTTGTTTTAGCCCCTTAATGCCGAGCGCCAGACAGGGTAACAACAAGTACCATCTTTTAACGTCTTTTGGTATGACGCGGCCGGGGATCGAACCCCGGACCTTCCGCTCTCCGGGCGGACGCTCTACCACTAGACCACGGAGGCGGCCATATTACATGGAAAGAAACAAGATGAGAGTAACAGTTAAATTCATAGAGTGAGTGAGAGAGTTAGGTTTTAACACCGCTTTTGACATTCATGACCAACTCGTGTTATTCCGGTACAAGCTGACCCTCGTGGCCATTTTTGCGACTGGGTTCTGTCCAAGAGCACAAGCATAGTTAAAAGAATTGTCAACTCGTGGCGTAATGATTCACGTATATTTCCCCCAGGTCCTATATTTCCCAGATGTTATTTAAACACATCGGGATACGATAAGGTATTACAGTATGCATGAACACGTTTAACTGTATCTAGGGTATATTTTTAGATTCAAGGCATGTGGAAAAACAACAATTATTCCTGAGGGATTCTTTGACCGAAGTACTTGACGTCATACGCGCATTCTGATTGGTTTGTCGTATTTTCGCGCATAACATTCAACGATAGGGAGATGAGTCTTCTTGCATGTTACGGAAAAGGGCGAATGGTGACGAATGCGCCCTTGACAGTGTTTCAGTCATATCACGGCGTGTCAGCTACATGAAAGAGGAAAGTTTGAAGAGATGCAGGTCTCAGACGTTTACCAATTTGATGAAATCAACGGGAACGGATACAGTGCTTAAAAACCAAGGATCGTAATCTAAGATTCGAACCCACTATCACTGGATCCTGGACACGACTAACGTACGCAACTCTGTACAGCGAATTTCGGCGCCTAGAACCATGTCTAGGGACCCATATGTCCCTGAAAAGTGAGCATATGAGATAATTACATGTACGATATATGTTTGGAAGACTGTGTCCTCCAGGAACTAAATACGATATTTGAATTTAGCATCGCTATTGGTAATCTTCCAGCCATATTAAATCGGGGGATACCAGAAATGGACTTTGACAATCTGTGGGGAAACGAACCCGATCTTCGGGTGACGAGCATCAACCTCACACGAATATTGACATAATAAGAACATTAAATATGGCCAGTAAAATAATTGTTTTCACTCGCAACCGAGACCTGTTAGTGTAAAGGTGCTACCTTTTGTATGTTTTAAGTAATGTGATTATTCAACTATTCCCTTGCACTGACAGACGGTAATGTAGATTGTCAATTATTTCAATTGTTACCCGAGAAGGGTTTAACTCTCTAAACGGGGGCAATGTCAAAACCCTTTGTGTTATAAAACTGTTAAAAGCGTCGTATAACCCCACTCAGCCTCGCATCGTTTCAAAATATTGAACCCCATGTTTCAACTAATGACAGTCTTTGTTCGATTCCAGTTTGGCACGATTGATCATTAAGGTTATTAAGAACGATCCCGTAGGTTCTCGCTCAGTCACGAGACATTCAAATAGCTTTATCCCGACTGTGAATACCTCGGGGTTCATTTTCGCATAACGCATACATGAGCCTATAACAACGAAGCCGGTCGATATGCATTAGTTTGACATGCAGCATTGTAATACCCCTTTTCTTATTTTTCGCACAATTATTCGATGTAATGATTGCAGATACATGAATACATATTCCTTTATTCCTTCTTGAGGCTGTTATTTCCAGACAACATAGGACACATATGCATGTCGAACAACGTAATCACAATGGCCAGATGATCATGACGCCAGGACGTCGACGAACAAACTCGCACTACATGTAGGGGACGTCAAAAACGGTGTACCAGTTTCTTGAAATGCACAAGGGAAGAGCGAGGTACAACATAAACTCGAGTTAATGAGTGAAATATTACACTTCTTTTAGCATTATTCCTGGATGGGTGAAGATTGGAGGCTTCAAGTACTTTTCAGTTACCCACTAAAGACCATTGTAACGGACAAAATGTACATGGTTTCAGAACGTAAAACAAAGGAAACAAAATGTAAATACTTAAAGAAAAACTGGAAAGCAAACATAACAAGGTAGACTGTCTCTAAGCTGCAACTGTTCAGTGAATATGTATAGCAGAATAGCCACGCTAAACATTTACTGATGTCCATGAATACACTTATTTTGGTAGACGGTTGTTTATATTAATTTTGAATGGTATGTTAGTCCTTTAGGCACATGCTCGTGTCTGACTAGCCGGGGACTCTGTGTTATCTCGGGTCATGTCGAAACAAGTTATGAACCTGTGTGGTCCTTGTAGTAAAGAAGGTCAACATCGGCTAGTGGTGACAAGGTCACATACCAAAGAATATGTCGATAGGTCATTTCAACATGATAGCCCATTGCTATGGAACAATCTGCCACTAGGAATCCGAGAAACGGAAAATCTGACAAACTTTAAAAAAGACACTCAAAACCTGTCTCTTCATGAGAGCCTTTGACCAGATCATTCATAGTGTAAGCGCATTCGAGCAGTTTTAATTGTAAAATGCGCTATACAAATTATTTTAATTAAATTTAAAGTGGAAGGACAGCGTGGTAACCCTGGGGTTAATGCATTCGATAGTCACAGCGACGACCCCTGAGGATTCGGGTTAGAACCGGACAACATATGCTTGAGAGGCGACTGGAGGTGAAAGGAAGATGGCGTATCATCTGACACCGACGTGGTACGCTGTTCATAATATCAATCACTGGATTGTCCAGTCCAAATTGGCGTGTATACAAGCCCCATCAAAAAGTTCATATATTGTTGAGTGTGGGGCTAAACAACAAGCAAACCTGAACCATCGATAATCCGGGTTGCATTCTCTAGAGGGTTATTATCTATTAGAGTCATTATTGTTCTCCGACCATCATGGCATTTCTAAAATATTGCCGAAACGCGTAAAATATTACTCACTCACTTCTATTAGAGTGAGTGAGTGAGTTGGGTTTTAACGCCGCTTGTACAGTATTCCAGTTATATCGCGGCGTGTCAGCTTCATGTGGGAGGAAAGCCCGAAGTGATGCAGGTCTCAGACGTTTTCTGGCGTGCCCAAGGGACGCAACTCTGCACAGCGAATCGCGGCGCCTTAGACGACTGGGCCAACCCCCCCCCCCCCCCACACTTCTATTAGAAGCTGCTTCAAAAAGCATGAGGGTGGTGGGGTAGCCTAGTGGTTAAAACGTTGGCTCGTCACGCCGAAGACACGGGTTCGATTCCCCGCATGGGTACAATGTGTGAAGCCCGTTTTCCGGTGTTCCCTGCCGTGATATTGCGTTGAATATTGCTAAAAGCGGCGTAAAACTATAATCACTCAATCACTCTCTCAAAAGTCCAGTATCATCATGTCTCGAGAAAAAGTGCCGAGTAAAATCACTAAGTGAAAATATATGTCAAATGTCAGTTGTCACTAACGAAATCAGGTTAATCGTGTAACGGAGGTTGTTCTTCTGGTGGAAACATCTGATCAATAGAGAAAATCGCCCGACGGGAAACGTTTACAGCACCTTTTGAAGGACTTGTTTCACTGGGTCATCAAGTGACGTCTTCGTCGTTATTGTCACCCTGCTGTGGATATACTTGTTGTGTGAAGATAATCAAAGTTGTATTCGCCATAACTCATGGTCATTCTTCGGGCTCTGCTCTACTCGTAAATCTTGTGTGTGGTCCTTTCATCAAAACAATCTCACACGGTTCATATTAAAGATGCGTATAAAGTAACTGTTACCATAACGACCGTTGAATATACATTTGATTCAATTTCATTCAAGCCATTGGTAATCAGCAGCTTAGAACAAGGTATTTACGGTCCGCTTTTAGAACGATATAGATCTGTTCGTATTTACCCAAACACACAACCATTCAGCCCTTTGTCAGAACACGTTTCAAATATAATTTGTTTCGTGCTATAATTGAAGTTTATTATAGACAAGCTGTAGATCGAGTTGATGTTACAACGAAGAAATGAAGACACTCCTCGTGCAGATTTAGGCACGTATGGCACTGGTCCTACTATTATAGTATTATAAAGAATACACGCAATGACATTGTCATATTCTCATTCTATTCACATCATCAATCGATGCAAGGTTATGTTTGAAAACGACACATGTTTAAGAAAAGTTATGACACTACAGCCTTATTAATACAAAAAAAGTTTAACTAATTGATATTTTTTTGCATTCACTAAGCACACATTCACCGACAATGAATATTTGATAAGTTACAATTGACGTGTACTTGTTTTCGCGACACAACAATACTGTCAAGTCGAAAACCCGTCAATATTGTCGCAAGGAGTTACAAGAGTAAAAGTAAATACACGAAGCCATTTAACGTCAGTTAAGTGCATGCGCAAGACAATGCAATGTTGCTTTCGGCGTTTGTTTTTATAAACGGTATAATAGGTGTTTGGTCTGACATCGACTTAAGACGTTTAAGTGGCAATAGCCGACAACGCTGGATCGACCTACTGGGTCGATTATCACTTAGCTGTTGACGGCTAAGGTATATCGGACACGTGTGGCTTACTATTTGCGAGACTTCGTTACTATACTGCAGGGGTAAGCGACAAAAGACATTTCTCTGGTTTTGTCTTCACAATGTACACGAATACGTAGAGACCACATGTTAGATTCTTCTTATTACACTTTCATTGTTCCTTGTTCCCTTTGTCTTGACATATTCTATGTCATAACATATAGATCAAGTTTTAAAAATGCAGATGTAAAGGAAGGAATAAATGAGTAAGATACATATGTTCCGTAATAAAACGTTTGAGTGGTAATTTTAACCTTTTGTAGCATGCATTTTGAAGTGTAAGTGGTTACTTACCAACTGTGTATGTAACTAGGGATTTCTTTAAAGTGTGTTTATTAATGTTGAGTAAATTGTCTAAAGTGAGTAATGTAAAAATACAACACATAATTTGACTTACCTGAAAAAAATCCCTCCTATCTTGATGTGGCTCTGACGACACACTATCCCGTTAACAAGCAACTGTGAACTGTAGCTGCAGAAGTTGCTGGTTATCCAACTAGAGCGCGCCGTTAGTTCTACAGAGCGAGACCTGGGCATGCGCACAAGCTTTAATTTAGTTGATAATGGGTACCAATAGACAAAACCCGGCTAAATCATTGACCATTGATCAGGAATACATTAGTGTAATCCTAGGCAACGGTTGGACAGAGCATCAACAGTGTTTATTTAATGATTTAGGGTTGATGAATTGTGCCATAATCATTGTAGGCCATTCTTCCAAATGACAGTAGACAATACGCGTGTGTTAGGACTGAGGCAACACACGAAGAGTGTATACCAATAAAAATGTTTGATTTGGCGATAACAAAGGTACATTAAAGACACATTTTCATTCAATTAGAAATAATGTAGTAATGAATACTATTGTTAGATGGATTTCAATTATGACAGCTTATTCAGACGGTTCAGATGATATAATTTTATTCGTGCATATTACAGACGTATGATACGTCCCGTATTTTTGATGGGCTTTATTTGGGTTCATCAAGGCTATCACACAAAACAGTCAAATATTTCATGCATTATTTAAATTCAGATTGTTAAGATGGCGATTAGTAGTGAAAAGCTCGGTTGTCACTATTGATGTAAATATTAAATGATAGTGTTTTGTTCGCCCAGTTGCCATGACTGTTGCATCCTGATTTGTTCACTGAAGCAATTCCGTATCATCTCTGATGCACCAATAACCCAGTTCGGTAAATCCCAGTGTAAAGACAACAATAAATGTTTGATTAACTAACAGAGGCCTCAGTGCTGTCTTTGCTGATGGAATACAGATTTGAATAGTTTATGTGATTTGGGGACGCGCACAAGCAGATTTCGCTGATTTGTATAACTAATGTGGCAGGTTTTTAAGTATTGTTTGGTCTTCAAACTGTTAACGATGGTCGTCGTCTATACAGAACCGTGATATTAGTTATAGGATATCACTTTAAAAAATGAATACTCTAAGACAATTGCTTTCCACCTGCCAGATTCTACAATTGCATCTCGAACCATTCAGCGGAAAATATATGCTGGGCATGTAATTGCTGTCTGCATTGACTCCTGCAACCTACATGTATAATTGGGATGTTACATATATTTCAACGTATATACATACATCAGTGGAGAACCAGGGTTCAGTATACATGAATATATTTCTCAACTGGGAATCTGTTGAAGATAGGTACTGTACGTACAAACGTAAATGATATATATCTGATACATGTAGGTCCGGTCTGGTCACTTTAGGCCGTGCCTTACGAGTCAACAACTTTGTGAACGCATGCATATTAATAAAAGACATAATACTATGGAATCCTAGAAGGGACATTGTCGCGTTGTCAAAATTTTACCATTTGTCTCATTGTCACATTGTTGCCCTTTGAATAACATGTTTTCACTTTACCAAAGGGCGACAATGCGACAATGCGGCACAACTACATTTTTCAAGTTCAAAATATGTCTAGTTGTCAAATTGTCGCTTTTCAAAAATGTGTAAACATGGTGTTAAAATGCGCGACAATGGGACAATGTGACATATTTGTTCTGTCGCATTGTTGCCCTTAAAGGTGTGCATGCTTAATTCTGACATGTTGTGCTTGTTTTTTCAAAGGTGACAATACGACAACGCGATAATGTCCCTTCTAGGATTCCATATAATTCAAATAGTTCGTTAATTCGGGTGATTGCACTGTGAACGGTGCCGTCCTGATGACCGTTGTTTCACTGGAGTCTACAAACAGACGGAACAAAACCATTTCCATAATCATAATGATAATAATGATCACGATTGTTCGATTCCGACTAATTATGAGAATGTGTTTATAAATCACTGTCAACTAGTCATGATACCTAGTTCTCAAACAGGTGAGCGTATCTTGTTTTACCGGTGGCCTTCGTCACGAACACATGCAAAGTCATTTGTTCACCTGAACAAACAAGGTAACACAAAGTACACAAGTCAAAATACAAAATCATTTCAGTCACTGAAGCGTTTGGACATTTCCTCCACATGTCTATCAAATAACGTTGTGGAAGCCTCTGAATGTTGTAACCGTGATCCAATAGCAAGAGTAAGATTCGTAAACACTCTTCGAAATCTACGGAGAAAGAGCATGCTCAATTGTACCTTAAAAAAGACACCGGAGACTGGAGCTGCTAGTATATTGTTTGACAAAAATGGAAAGTTGTTTGGTGAAAAGTTGAAGTCATCCCTCTTGTCGTCCTGTCTTTTTGATTGTTCTGTTATTCTCAGTTTGTATGCACAGATCTAAATATGAATCAGATGGGGCAACGTCGGTGGTCTGCTGCATTTCTAGTTCGGGTGGGTAAATCAACGGACGGGAATTGACTTTTTGACCGTTACTGAACGCTATCAGGTCATCGATATTCCTCAAGCTTGTTTAAAAATCTTGGCCAAATTACCGTGTTATGGTTTTTCCAATCCGAGCAGAAATTCCGATTCATATGCTTACCGAAACTGATCAGGAAGTATAGGAGCTCAGCATGTGCCCATGCAGAACCCCGCTACTTGCCTATATGTCCAAACCTTAATGTCACGCAAATGTTATCTATGAGGAAGTCCAGTATTTGACGTATTGTTTTCTCAGTAAATATCAGATGAAATATGCTTTCATTTTTGGCAATGTGTTCTGAATCGGAAGAGATAGTGATGATAACTATATCCATGGCAAATGGCAAATGAACCAACGAATTAAGGCTTTCCTCAACTCTGTCATTTGGGATAGTGGTGTACAAAGTTGAAAAGTCCACCTGGTAGTACTTCCCCTTGTCTCAAGTACTTTCTGTTAATACGAAAAACGTCCTTCCTGGGTTATATAAAGGATCATGGTTAGTCTTTAAAACAGTTAGTCGTTAATCCCCTTTTCTACTTGCCGAGTCTACTCAGAGATCACAACCCATGTAAACAGTCACTGCGACCAGCGGCCGCACCGACCACCACGACACGAGACTCCATTATCCAGACTATGCAGAACACAAGGGTGAAAAACAACCATGCTGTAATCAAGTATGATTTCACACCTTACCTTGAAACCTACCTACCAGTAGCCTTGCACCGACACAGCCAGCTCAAGAGATAAACTCAGCTACCCCAGCATAGGCACAGACCTCATTTGTTACAATGAAAAATCTATCTGATATGACTCATTGTATATGCTACTGTGGCAAGGACTTCTGATATTGAACATAAAACAAATGTGATCGGTGTTGGAACTGGGAAGATAGAGAAGATAGATCAGAAAATTGCTTAAATTAAGGCAACCTAACTCTAGACGTAACTTAACCAAGGAGAATGTATCCTCAATGTAGGACCATATGAACACTCTGAAAAGTAAACCAGATAAATGTCAGACAGCTTCTGACGTCGACGAGGCATACTATCAGGTGCATTTACTGGCAGGCAGAGTAGATGATTGTCAAAATGATGGTGACTACTTACATGGCAGAATCCACCAATTATTACAACAGGACTGTGAACTGAGGGAAACTATGTTAGAACTTCAGTGTCGCGCAATGGAGAAATATCTGCTGTTTACAGGGTGTACTGAATCTGAGAGTGAAAAAATATCAACTGCAATAGACACAATTGTGAGTAACACACTTGAGATAGATTCGACAGATCTTAATATTAATTTTGATGTCAATATTTGTAATGATATTTCAAACACTGATATAAGGGCACAAGAAATTGAATGTGCCCTCAAACTTCTAAAGAAGGCATGTGGCCAGGATAACATTATTAATGAATATATCAAATCTTCAGAGTCAACATTCTTACCCTTGTATACCAGACTATTTAATCTTATACTTGCCACTGGGATGTTTCCCGAACAATGGTTAAATGGAATTATTCGTCCGATCTTCAAAGGTAAAGGAAGTACAGATGACCCTGGTAACTTTCGGCCCATACATGTACGTCTTATAAGCTGCCTCGGAAAATTGTTTATTTTAGTTATTAATCAAAGATTAAATGATTATGTTGCAGTAATAACATTCTGTTAGAATCACAAGCGGGTTTTAGACATGGCTACTCCACAAATGATCACATTATTACCCTGTATGAAATTATTAATTTTTTTTTTTTTTAAATAAAAAAATGGATTGTAGTTTCATTGATTTGCCAAAATCTTTTGACAATGTTTAGCGTATAGGTTTATGGAAAAAAACAATATTGACACAAGGTATGGAAGGAAACTTATTCGTATTATTGTTAATACGTACGATGGCATTATATCATTATATATTGTGTTTACAAAAGGTGTATAATCAGAACAATATCCTTGTTTTATTGGTGTCTGTCAAGGAGAAAATTTGTCTCCAATGTTGTTTTCATTGTTAACTTTCTAAATTTTCTCGAACCATTATATACTCAAAACTGTCCTAGTGTTTTTTATTGAATCCTATTCACTTATTGGTCTGTTAAATCTATCCGTTGTTTTGTTCGCTTTAAATCATCATAATTTATAAAATATGTTTGATATTTTTTCACTTTGCTGTAAAAATGGAAGTTGCATATCAATACTAGTAAAGCAAAAATTATAGTTTCAAAACGCTTTCAAAATCTCTATAAAAGCAAATTGTGAATCTGCCACTAAGGCAATGTTCTTTGTATTACGTAATAGTAGAACATTTTATCTATCTATGAAATGCCAATTATATCTACTCGATGCTATAGTAAACCAATTCTATTATATGGTTGTAAAATCTGGGGGCTTGAAAACTGCAAAGCAATTGAATCTGTTCATGTATTTGTTTACGTAAACTACTTCCCATTAAGAAACATACGCCTTTATACATGCTGTATGGAGAACTTGGAGCAGTATCTTTAATTAACTCTATCAAAAGCCGAATAGTATGTTCAAATTTAAAGAACTTTTAATTGAAAAAATAAGTGTTATAAAAGACTCTGTAAATTCTTTAATATCATTATGAAAACTGTAAAATCTTCCATGTAAACCACCCCGCCTTCTTATGTTTATACTGTTTGTAA